CAAGAAAATTTGTAATTAGACAAATTTATAAATGTCATAGAAAAATTTGTATTAAGGAAAATCTTAGACAATGTTTTAAAAATCAAATCGTTTATTGAACTAAAAAGAATCATCCATTCACAATTATTGATTAATTATAATTGAACCATTATAATATATGCATGAGATTTAGTTGGCACTTCCCAAGGCTCATAAGTGTTTAAAGGTGTTTGCAAATGTTTTTCTCAGCTTATAATCACTTCAGCTAAACTATGTATAGTTGAGAAGCTGGAAGTACGGGAGGGAGTGTATCTAGATTTAGTGACATTTTTATAATTAAATTAAAACTATTTTAAATTTATTTTATCTATTTTACCCTCAAATGTTTACTTTATTTCCAATATTACCCTTGAAGACAACTTCCCTCCGATTGCTGCTGGCCGCACGCACGATCACAGACGGCCACCATGTGGCTTGCCGTAGCAGCAGTGCCTAGACAGTCGTTGTGTGCGGCCTCTACAATGGCCACATGCCGCGGCCACAAATGGTCGTAGCCATGTGGCTTGCCGCAACAACGACGCCTAGACGGCTGGTTGCGTGCGTAGCTCCATCGTGCATAGTAGCTAAAGGTTTTGAAATTTTGATAAAAATTTAAATAAAAAAAGATATATGTAAGAGCAAAATTGTCATTTTAGTTCTGAAAAGCTTCTCAACCATCATTTCATACCCAAACACTATTTTACTGATTTCAATAACTTTTTTACACATTTTATAAACATCTTCTACTTCTGATTCTATTCTCTTTTACTTAAAAAAGCCACATCTAATTTTTTTATAAGCATTTACAAACATCTCCTAATTTTCTTATCCATTGAATTTTGTATACCTATCATCTAACTTTTTTTAGTAGTGAATTGACATTTCTGTCAAATAATAAATATGTTAGTTTTTAAAAAATAAATTTTGTTTGTTTTTAAAAAATGGTTTTATTATTTAAAAAAAGAAATTGACTTTCTCTGTTATTTTAATGCTCCTATCTATTTGCAAAATTTAAATTGTGAGTCATATTAAGAAACATTGTTTCAAATGTGGGGAGCAATTATTTTTTTTTTTGATTGCAAAAAATGATTGTTAAATAATAAAAACAGTAATTAAGGAGTTGGTGGGAGAATACAATAATAATTTTTTCACTGTGATTGATAGAATTAAAATGACACCTCAACAAAATCTCATCCTCAAAAGGTTACAAATAAAACAAGATATTTAATTATTTTCCTTCTTATTTTAAAATTAAATTTTTCCTCCTCATATATTATTAATCCAAGTGGACTTTAACTTTCATTCTCCCTTATAGAGGGAGTAAATTGATAATTTAATTAAAACCAATTACCTTCCACCTCACACTAAACTTATTTCAAAATTGTTTATCAATTCCCATATCAAAAAATTCGAATTTTATAAATTTTTGATTAAATATGTATTGAAAATAATTGAAATTAGAATATTGCAATTTCTAAATTTCTAAAAAAAGTAACATTTTAAAATTGAGGACTAAATTTTGAATAAAACTAAAAGGAATTATTGCAATAGATCAGCAGCCAATCATCGCGTAATATGGATTTTTTGAATTCTCCTTTGAATAAACCTGTTTAAAAAAATACTTTGGAAATATAAAAATTTTTATAAAAATAGAAATTATTTTTAAAAAACCATTTATAATTATTTTAAAATAATTAAAAATCTAATTTTTATATTTTATATTATTAAAAAATATTTAAAAATTTAAACAAACACGCTTTAAATATGCTAGACTGTTAAAATTCGCGATCGGAAATTTAAATGAAAAAAGAGAGAGAGAGGAAGTCAAGCCTGTCGATTTGATCATTCTCGTCTTCGACGCGGAGAGGAGCAGTAAAGTCTGTCGAGCGAGAGAAGCGACAAAAAGAAAAGGTCCAATAAACGGTTCACATTTCACAGCGGTTGAGCGAGGAAAAGAAGGGGTCAAATCAACTGTTCAGACTCCACGGTACACCTAAAAGAAAGAGGGTGGGGCGTTCCGAGAATCGAACTCGGGACCTCTCGCACCCAAAGCGAGAATCATACCACTAGACCAAACGCCCTGTCCTTTCTTAAAGTAAAAACCGTAATACTTTAACACTCCAGCACCTGCGGCCCGAACCAACGCCGCCGGAATAGCTGGCAACGACTTAATTTCCTTTTCACTATTATTGATTGCCAAACAAGGTCTAGCCCCACAAAGTAATCATCGCGTTGCACCTTGGAGTGTTGGTGCATGCACAGAGATATTCAACTTCTTCAATTCTATAATAATGGAGGAAGCCTTAAACGGAAGGAATCAATCAAGAAGCCATAACAGATGCTTCACATAATGGGCTTATTGCTCTTGATTTCAATCAAATGGTTAGCTTCGTCGGCTCAAATCCAATGTTTTCAATTTGAAATTGAAATCCTCAGTTAAAATTTGGAGAAACTATATTATATATATTATTTTAAATAGAAATTAATAGTAAAAAAGTGTCTTAAACGATCCAACCAACATGCCTAATCTCACACCTACCGTCTCATTGCCATCTTCAATAATGCGTAGCTCTCAATCATTCATTAATGCATGCATCTCCATTATGAACATCTATCCCCATGTGGGTATGGTCCCATATACTTCATCCCATCCCTTTCCATCCATGCATGCTTCAACTCTTAAAAGGCTCCTTATGTTTGGAGATTATTTATTATTCCAGCTTTTCAAGCTCAAAGTTAACAAAAATTAAAAGTTAAAGATGCCATGAAATTATTGTTTTTTCTTTAAAAAAATGTATATATTAAAGTATGTAATACTATTATATATATCCATTCTCTCAATTTCTCTTTATTTTATATATAATTTGTGACACTTTACCCTATTCTAACCCTTAACGCCTTTGTCAAGTTGAAATTTACAATCCCTCACTACTCTAATTATCTTTCTAGAGGTGTTTGACATTAATAATACTATCATCGAATTAGCCTTTCACGAGTCAAAAGTTGACTTTGATACTATTTGTTATGAGCCAATTATCTTATCCGTAAAAAATAACATATTAAAATGTATAACACCACTGTTTATATCTCATTTTCTCTATTTTCTTTTTATTTGGTATGTAATACAGTTACTCCCAATTTTGAATTGACTTTGAAAAATTACGAACAATCATAGTTTCTTGTATCATTAGCTTTTTTTATTTTTCCCACAGTGATATTCGTTGATTTTTTTTAGCTTAAACCCAAATTCCATCCAAAGGAAAAATTTATAAGCATAATGAATGCTCAAAATAAAGTGATTGTACAGAAAGGAAAAATAAAGCCAGCTAAGGGGTAGAGGTTGCTGGAGGGTCATCAAAAAGCAAATGTCTAATCCATCTTCATGACAGTGCATGTGTCTCAATACTACTCTCCATGTCAAATGTGTAAATAAATGTTTATGTAGTGGGCTTTCTTGTAATTACATCCTTTAGATTTCCATAGCCAATGGCACAACTCTCCTGGGGCAGATGCTGGTGATCGGACAGCAATAGCAATTTGGGATGGAACAAAAACGATAGAAAAACCAAAGAGACTACAATGTCTGGTCAGTTTGGCATCTTCTGGTCTGTTTGGATGGCACGCTTGTATGAGACAACATGAATGATAACATGAACTCAAAAATTCATATTTAATATTTTGTACTTGTATATGGTCTCTCACTCTCCATCTCTCAAACAGGATATTCTTGGAAATTATCTCAGCCAATAGGAAGATATTTATCAAGTGATTGATGTTGTCTCTTTGAGACTTAAATCTGGTTTCAGTCCCTGTACTTCTCCAAAAATGGGCAATTCCCTCCCTTTAATAGAAAACGTGCACAAGTAAGTCCCCAAAATTACATATTTGTACACAGTGAGTCCTTCTGCCAATCCAAGTTATTAACCAAGCATTAATTTGCCTAATTGGCAGTTAAATAGCAGATGTAATCTCTGTAACCTTTGAAATCTTCATGATTTATCAAGTAGAACACACAAATCTATGAATAAAGATATACAAAAAAAATTATTTATATATCTGAACCTCTGTGAATTCTACCACAATATTCCAAGAGAAACGTTATTCGAATTAAGCCAATATTTGACATTGTTAAACAAGCCAACCATTTGGAGAATCAAACTCCACCAAAAAGGATGTGATTGAGAAGTAAGGAAAAATAGTGAATTCACTTATTAACTTTCAGGAATTCAACAGCAGTTATAGTAGGTGAGTACATATCATTTGAGATAAAAAGAAAAAGTTCGGTGACTCGCATGAGGACAAGATGAATTGTAAAAATAGCCATTCTACTTTTAGTCTCCATCCCTTGCAGCCCACATTTCTTCATCACATCACACCACACCACACCACACCCCCCCCCCCCCCCTCTTTTTATCTCCTTGCCCCTAACATTCATCTCTTGAGAGAGAGGGAGAGGGATAGGGAGAGCTAAGAATTAAGAGCCATGGCCTTTGCAGGCACAACCCAGAAATGCATGGCCTGTGACAAGACTGTCTACCTGGTTGACAGCTAACAGCGGATAATCGGGTCTATCACAAAGCCTGCTTCCGATGCCATCACTGCAAAGGAACACTCAAGGTACTCATTACTACTCACCTAGAACCCAAAATTCTAGGGGAATTGTTTTTGGAAACAGGAAAACTATTTGGTAGATTGTTTTCAGAAACTGTTTCCAAGAGAAGGCCCATTTCTAGAAAGCAAAATATAAATGTTTTCAGAATTCTCAGAAACTAGTTTCGCTCAAAAAATAAAACAATATGAGAAGAATAGCTTTTAAGATTTTCAGTGTTTTCTGGAAACACAGAACAAAACTAAGAGCAGAAAACAGAAAACAGACAACAAATCCATCCATAAGAAATAGACACAGATGTTCATTTACTGGGATACTTTGATTTTTGCAGCTTGGCAACTACAATTCCTTTGAGGGGGTTCTGTACTGCAGGCCACACTTTGATCAACTCTTTAAAAGAACTGTAGCCTGGAAAAAAGCTTTGATGGTAAAACCAGCTCTTGCTATTGTTTCTTAAGGTTCAGATCTTTCTAACAAGGTAAGTGGTTATAGTTGGCAGACTAAGCTAATTTCTTGCTTCCATACTCCAGGCACACCAAAAATTGGGAAAACCTGAGAAACTGACTGACAGTGAGGTAACTTATCTTGGACCTCGGTGCTTCCCTATTTTGTTCCTAATTTGCTGCTAATCTTAATTGAGCAACTTCTAACAGAAACCTCCCACCAGTAAAGTCTCGGCCATGTTTGGAGGAACAAGAGAGAAATGCATAGGCTGCAATAATACTGTTACCCCACTGAAAAGGTAAGCACCGTGAATTTTTACACAATAAAAGCACATATAGCAACTCCGCTTTTTTTCTTTTTCCCTTTTTATTTTTTTTCCCTTAAAGTAATCTGCCAAGTTGTTCATTTATACTTTATTCAGTTAAGACTCATATAAAGATTTCTGGTACTGGAAAATATATGCTGGTGTCACCTACAAATAAGCTAACAATACACGATTCATTTCAAGGTCACAGTGAATGGAAGTGCATACCATAAGAGTTGCTTCAAATGCAGCCATGGAGGGTGTGTTTAGTCCATCCAACTACATTGCACACGAGGGACGACTTTACTGCAAACACCACCACACCCAACTGATAAAGGAGAAAGGCAACTTAAGCCAGCTTGAAGGTGAGAAGGACCCTGTCAACTAAAAACTCCACCAAAGGAATTGGTCTACTCTTCCCACTCCCTCAACCTCCTCCCCTTTCAGTTCTATGGTTTTCTGCTACATATCAATGTGAACTACGTGGAATAGCTTTGTGGTCTACCTTTTCCCTGCAGTTCAAAACGGTCTCATACCAGTAAAAACAGATAAAAATTCTTAAAATTTCCAGTGTGTATGTGTGACTTGTTGTTTGTTAATTCAATGCACTCATGAGATAGTGCATCCTCAAAATTGTGAAGCAAGACACAAAAGGGCTTGTATTGGTTTTGTTTTCTGTTTTCATTTTATGTGTTTTTGAAAACAGAAAAACTGAATTTTAAAAACTTCTTGTATTATAATCATATTGATTCTTGAGCCAAAATAATTTGTCAGTTCTCTGATGTTTCATAAAAGGGTCATCTCCTGAAAATTCCCCAGAAAGCAGTTAATAGAAAACAATCTGCCAAATGCATTTTTATTTCCAAAATAAAGAAATGGTTTTCAGAATATTGGTATTTCCACTCCTCCTTTTATGAGAAGGTGCTCAAAAGATTGACAATAAATCGAATGAAGCTACCAGTTCTTGACAGTTGGTACCACCGCTAGACCAATCCTTATAGGCATAAATGTTCAGCAACTATCATCAATTTTGAAGGTGAATAAAAACACTCTACCAGATCAACATACAGGAAGGGAATGATCATATTGATTCAAGGAAGATGTCTAAAATAATTGAACATGGAAATATATTCTTTATAGAAAAATATTAACTCATAGCAAAAGGATTGAATAGCATAAACAAAATATTAAATGACACTGAAAATAATTTTCATCAGAAGAAAGAATTAAGATGGCAGGAAATTAAAATTGCATCATAATATTTAGGCAAGTGAAATACCTACTCAAGAAGGCATCATTCAACTTGTAAGCCACTTAATTGCCATGCTGTTGCAAGTGCACACGGTGCAGTCCATGCACTCAATGTCAATCAAGGTATGGAATGGACCAACGAAGCTACCTTTGTACTAATTATAGCAATTTAACAATTGGAAGTGAACTTCATAACAAAAGTAGAACGTGACATAGGAATTAATGATCCAAATCTGAAATGTAAAAGCTCACGTTGTTGATCTATTGGTAACACATATTCATAGGAATGCCGTAGGATGGTTTGGGACGGGAGCCAACACCCCATCTCCACAATTTCAAAGAAATCTGTCGCCCCCACCCTGCTTTTCCCCGCTACCTTGCTTCCACCTCGTCAACGAAAGAAAATAATAAAGGATAGCTTGCTATATTTAGATGTTTAGGAAATACATTTTTATTAATATAAAATCAAGATGTGGGCAGGGGCAGGTTTAACCATCGCCACAAACCTATTCAGGAAACCACACCACCCCCCCCCCCCCCCCCCCAAAAAAAAAAAAAAAAAAAAAAACCCCTCATATTAGGCAGGGGAGGGTGAGGCGAGCAGAATCGGGGTAAATGACCATCCCTTCATTTACATTCCCATGAGTTAAAAGCATAGTTTCATGATCGGAATCAATCTGTTCCAGACAATTTACCGCCAGTAACCAGATTAGTTAAATTGCATGGTTCAAATCGTTGTGTATTGCAGGAAAAGAACCAAGGCTATGAACTCATCAGAGTTGGATGGTAAAATCCCAGGACACTGAAAGGGTGATCCACCCTAAAATTCAGCAAATTTACTAGAATAAATAATGAATCTACCAACAAATCAACTGAAAGCCAGAGAACAGGTACGAGCTAAGTTTACAAGCCCAATATGCTTTAAGATTAAAAAAACCTACCGAAGTCAAACATAATCACAAGAGAAGTTATAGAACCTCCAACAATACAGAAAGAGGAACTGCTGTTGTTTCGTGATCTCTCCTAAGGCCAACTATATATGACATTTGCTACTGATCTGTGTGCAGGGAGGGGAAGCACATGAAAAGACAGAACAACTAGATATAACATTAAGCGTGTCCAAAATATAAGAAAGTAGGCAATCTAAATTTGGGTCGCAAATACAAAAGAAGATAAAACACAAAATTAAAGTATATTTACTGATAAGTTTTATATTATTATTCCCTAATAGGTGTTTTACAGAAAGGACACTTGCACAGTGCCCATATATACAAGTATTGTACTCACAAAACCAAAAATCAATTGGTAAAAGGTTCCACTGAATCAAGAATACAACCATTCTGCGCAATATGCTTCAGGTCTATGATGTAATTGTTCTTAGAAAACCAAACCCGAATGTCCCTTCCCTATAAAGCCATATTCTTCCTTCCACGTCTTGAGTACTCTTAGAAGCTCCCGCCAGATCAGGAATTACCAGATCATAACTTGAATTTAATATGAAGAATGCGTGAGACCACTTCATGGTCTATGGAATCTGTTGCTTCTGGTGGGCGAAGGTGTATGCGACTATCATATAAATATTTTCCTCAGGCGAAATGGACTCTCGATGAATGTGGCAGTTGATGTCCAAAAGACAGGAGAATAAGTAGAGAACGGTTGAGATGAGATCACCCACCCTCCGACACACAATGCCTCCACCAGTGTTATACACCACAGATGATAAAATCCATTTCATATCATCACAGAAGCCCTGAGCAAGAAGCACAAGAGAGTGTCAAATAAGCCACAGTAGAAAGTCCGCTTCAATACCATGTATTATCACCTTACTAGTATAAAAATCATTAAAAAAACCAATAATTTTGGAGACAACTAAATAAGTAATCTTTCATTTTTAGATACTCAATGTGTCTCATCTGTCACTATTATGCGGTTTGTCTATAATCTGTAGTGGATTAGTAGGATGAAAAATTTTTTTTGAAGTCAGCATTCACATCCTTCATCAGAGCTGACTTGAGGCATCAGAAAAATTTTACCAATACATCAAATTTAATTTAAGGAATTTAGCAATTTACCTGTGAAAGCAACAAATAGATTTCTACTCAGAACAGAGAGCATGATATCAAGACTGCAAACTGTAGAAGAGCTAATCAACATAACCATAAACCACCAATCATCACATTGTTTAATTAACATAAGGCAAATTTATTGGGTATTCTATCTCAGTTGCTTCGAGTTGGTTGAAATTCCCCATTCAGTCATCAACAACCAAAAGCTCGGGAGTTTTTCAGTAGTAATGTTAATCAATAGTCCATCCAATGAAGTTAGAATTCAGTTATAAATTTCGCCTATGGGTAACTTACAGCTCCTCTTTATATTCTATATTCCTATGTGCTCGGGAAGAACATAAGCTGTGCTCAGACAATCATACATGCACAGAACAACAACAAAAAATGTCTAAATCCATATTTCTTCAAATTCCAGATATCAATAAGCTGTTAAATAATAAGTTAAACATGATTGAACAGCTAATTTTAGAGAGTTTTCATAGAGATCAAATATGTTTAATTTAAAGTTCTACCAAAATACTCAGAAGCAGCAAAAACAGAAAAGGAAAAAAAAGGGAAAGTATACGAGAACACCACCTTCCAAAGACCTTGCAAAGGTCTCGATGGCGTTGGCGAGCAATTGACAATCTTACAAAATGCTCTGTCTCCCACTTCTTCCTCCTGTGCTTTCTTGTTGGCCTATCCCCACCTGCACTTTTTCTGTTGGCAAAGAACTGATAAATTTCAGCTACAAAAGATCCTCCACATGCTCAATTTCCTTCTCTCCAGCAAATTCCAATATGGGAATGTAAGATTTTCCTCACACACAAAATGCGTCTCACACATTAAAGTAATGTTAACGGGTACAAGTTCATCCTCCAACAAACCAAATTCAACAGAATCATGGAACAAATCGTAGGGACAGAAAAAACTCACAGGATGTCCACTAGGTAAGACACTTAGCCACAAGAACGGAGCCTTAAACGACCCGAAAAGTGCGGAATTCGAAGGGAACACCCAAGAGCGGTGACAAACGATGGACCCCACTCGAAAAACACAAGCGACTGCGCGGCAAGCCGACACTGTTAGTTCTTACCGTAGCCGCCCCGCCGCCAGAACCCGATCAGATTCTCGTACTTGCTAAGAATATTGTAGAGTTGTTTGTAAGAGATTTTTCCCCATTTCTTGATCTGGTTCTTGGATCCCCACCGCCGGCTGCAGAGAGCCAACAGAGCTTTCCGTCGCTCCGGCAGAGGGAGAAGAAGTGCTTCGACGTGGTCGCGAAGGCGGCGACCTCCAAGGGAGTGAGGAGGAGAGTATGCATAGCTGGATATCTTCAGGTAAATCGGAGAAGGAAAGTAGGTTCATCTTCTGGTTTTCTGCGAAAAATTGGATGGCGGTGGACTGGAATGTTCTCGGGAGAAAGAGATAGACAGCAGAGGCTTCTGGTGATGATACAGCAGGGGAGGCTTAATTCTGGTGATGATACAGCAGGGAGGCTTAATTAAAGCAAAATGAAAAGTACACGTGTCAACTGTGACCTTATCAAATCCCAGGTTAAACAAAAACAGCTCCAAGCCGAAGGAATTGGTAAATTTGATAAAGGACATTTTGTAACAGTTGGAGCTTCCAAACTTCGCTTACAACCAGAAGAATCCATTTCTTTGTCCGATTTCCCTGGCTGAGCAGGTATCCATACTCAAGCTTTGAATATGTAGAGATGTCTTGATATTTGGGCCACCAAGAACAGATAACTTAAAAGTGTGTATATATATATATATAATTGAAGTTCTCTTCCTGTAATTTGAAGTCTGTATATGATATGAGATCTCTGATTCCATGCCGCTTGAAGCTAGGGTACAAAGCAGTCTGATTTATATTAAATTAAACAAACTTGGATTCCATAGTCTGTTTTTATATTTAAATTTAATTTAAAATTTTATAATATTTATATTTTTTATAATTCATATTTAAATTTAATAAATAAATCAAATTTGATTTGATAAAAATAATATTTTTTTATATTTAATTTTATCAATTCTATTTCATTAATTATATTAATTCTTAATTTTTTAATTTTTTTAATTTATTC